GAGAGAGAGAGAGAGAGTGAGAGAGAGAGAGAGAGACCCCAATCTAACTACACGGCCTGCCCCTTCCCCCCCCACACGATCACAGAATTGTGTATCTCCCGACATCTGAGAAAAAATATTTGCGGTGAACGGGAGACAGTTATGCAAGGTGTGACACACACACAACAGTTGAGTTCAAATCCGAACAACCACCTACCCAGCAAACCACGATCAGGTCTCTGGCAGGACAAAAAAGCGAAAAAAAAAGAAGAAAAAACATATATGCAAGGCATACAAAGCAGCAGCAGCATTCCATCGGCAGTGTCAACAACAGTGCACAGGTGAGCCTTAAAAACACCACGGCACCACCCGCACCTACACCTGGACCAACAAACCCCCACCGACCCTCATTTGCACCCTTTTCCCTTCATTTTTTTGCGGGTGAAGCCGCAACAGGTAACCTTGTGTATATATAAATTTATAAAAATTATTATATATATCGTCACAAAAATGTCGGAGCGCAAAAGCGAGAAAAAACAAGAAAACTTCAATGCATTTTTTTATCTTCTTACTTACAACTCCCCCTGTTCAAAACCTCTTGCGTACAAGGCCGCCCACGTGGATGTAGGTTGAGCGGCGGCTGCCCCCACCCCCATGTGTCATATCGACCCACTTGCACACAGCCAAAAGGCAAAGAGGCAAAGAAAGAGGAAGGGAACAACCAATATAACGAAACAGGGGGAAACAAACATAAATGGTAAAGAGGCAAAGAAAGCCTAGATGACAAGTCCCACTTGCGTACAAGGCCGCCCAGGGGCAAAGAGGCAAAGAAAGAGGAAGGGAACAACCTAGATGACAAGTCCCACATGCAAGCACCGCCCCCTCCGTCACAGGCCAAACGACTTTGGTAAAGAATTTTGATGTGACCCCGAGGCAAAATTGTTCAGTTTATTTTTCTGCATAACATAGTTTTTTTCGTTTTTTTTTTTTTTTTTGGGCTGGGACCTTCCTTGGTCCTTGCACGGTTGGGCTGCCCGGCTGGTAGCCTTGATTTGAAAGTTAAAAAAAACAAAAAAAAGCAGCACAAAGCAGAAACCTGAAGCAGAGTCTTCCACTAAGGCTTCCAATTGTAAGAGCCATATATAAAGCAAGCTGCTTTGTATGGCACAACAACAACAACAACAACAACAACAACAACAAAAAAAAAAAAAAAAAAAAAAAAAAAAAAAGCTGCTTTGTATGGCACATGGTGGCTAGATACATGTATTTCACTGTTGAAGCTGCTTGCGAAGGCTGTATATGGGAAAGCTGGTGGCGATGGGAGTGTCAAAACCTCCTTCAGAATCCTGCACAACACACACATATTTTACATAACCGTTACAAAACTAAGGTATGTTCTCATGCAAGGGTTTAGTGTTTAGGGTTTAGGCAAATTTCATCGAAGGCGGATACAGACTGAGGCAAGCCTATGTTCGAAGGTACACGGGCAGAGGATGGATGATAACATCACTTGTCTGCGTCTAGACCGGACCTTGCTGCTACTACAGTTTAGCACCAAGGGACGTCAACCAGCAGAATGCAAGTTTCCTCCGAGTAACTCAAGACAGGAATTTTAGGTGTCTAAGAGAGAGCAAAAAGAAAGAAAGGCACAATACCCATAAATTGAGAGTGAGATGCATCAAAGATAATAAACCCTGGGAACTTGCCTTTTGAGTCTTGACTGCGTTCAGTGATAGGCGGATACGGAAGAGCAGTAGCTGTAAGAAGAGGGAGAAAAGGAGCATGACAGCGTGTTGAGCATGAGAAGCATGGGGTAGAAGAAGGGATAAAGATGCTGAGGGTAACAAGGATGTCATAGAGGAGATTGCATGGGAGATAAAGTAGCTGGACAAGAGAGACAATGGCAAGGAGGAGGAGGGCGAGGCGGGGGGGGGGGGGGGGTTGCAGCAGGGGACAGTATTGTCGTTAGGTGTCAGAAGCAGGAGGATGTAGCCATATACACATGGAGCCAAGGAAAATGGCGAGGTGGGGGCCGAGTACAATGACAACAGGGAAAAGGAGGCAAAGAACTACCGTCTTCACCCAAATTGAACACCCGGCAATTATCGCTTCATCTGGACTGAAAGTTGTGCCAAATGCAGCTATCATGACAGGGCGTTCTATTCAGGTGAAGACGGTAGGAATCAGATGCCTAGAGGACAAGGCAGAGAACGCAAGGAGGGTGAAGAGGAGAACAACGCATAGGGAAGAGGAGGACAACAAAGACACACAGACGGATCAGGAGGAGCAAAGACCGTAATCCGTGAGCAAAGGTTGAATTTAGCAGTTGAAAAGCACAACGTGGGTTATGAAGAGGAGGATGCAGAGGAGGAGAGGGGGGGAAATGGTAGGCAACATACTGACTAAGAACAGGAGGAGAGGCAAGAGGAGGAGGCAAGTGGAAAAGGTGAGGGAGAAGCCGAGATAAAAGATGAGCTCAGGGAGCATGTATGAGGGACGAGGTGGAGGAAGATGTGAGGGAGGAAGCAGTCATGGGAGGTGGAAGAGGATGCATGCCTGCTTCTCTTTCCTCTCCCGCTTACCAATGGGGCGGGGCTACAGGGGGGGTGTTTGTTCCAATTTCTTTTAAACCACCAGTACCTCCGAGCCTCTTTTTTTTTTTTTTCCTACACAGTATTTGCACTGCATGCCAAAAAGAAACGGACCGCTACCGGCGCACCTTTTTCCTTTTTTGGCTGGCGCAGCCAGCCATTTTGATCTGGTGGCACCGTTCATCTCATGAACCGGACTGGCGCAATTTCGATTCTCAAGTTCGTCTTGGCAAAAGGTACTGCTGGTGTTTAACTTACACACAGGGCTCAATCTCTTTTCAGCTCATCTCGTCGTAGAAGTGGGCTTCGGCTTTCGTCCACTTGCTCTCAATTCATAATTTCATAGTGCATTTCCCCCCAGCGGAACACCATCACAAATATTGTTTTCAACTTTCAAAGGTTTACTCTTTGCCCTGCAGTTTGTGATAATGTGGAATCATGCTGTGATGTGAAATCATGCTGTGATTGCTATGAATCAAAACAAAGAAGATTCTACGACGGTTTTAGAGCCAGCCTCTAGCTATTTGGTTTCTACCTATGACTTTCTGATTCATGTCTTGGCTGTTCTCTCTCAATTGTCTTCTTCTGTCGAATAGACAATGGATGCAACAATCCAAGCAGAATGGATACATAACAACAGAGAAGACAGTGTGACAGTCACTCTCCTCTGTCTAATCAAATTCTGTAAGGTACATACAGGTGGCAAAATCGCCAATCCCACCAATTGGCCTAGCTGGGTTGGTACACGCCTGAACAGTTCAAATACAGACCAGGTGCAGAGTTCGAACTCCAGTCGAAGCAGACGAGTAAAAAACACTGCAATTCTGAATTACCTAGGGCTGGGCAGTTCAACGATCATATATCAAGGCCATTGCGCCACGGCTACGCCGTGGCAGACAGCAACAGTCGCCGATGGCGTCTCATGGCGTCTGCTCTGTCTGTCTGTCTCTGTCTCTGTCTCTCTCTCTCTCTCTCTCTCTCTCTCTCTCTCTCTCTCTCTCTCTCTCTCTCTCTCTCTCTCTCTCTCTC